CTCTCTCTCTCTCTCTCTCTCTCTCTCTCTCTCTCTCTCTCTCTCTCTCCACCTATTCAACCCACCTAACACCACGAAGACTTTCACGGAGTCCACGATTCGACAGGACAACCGTTATGCAGCACATACAATAGAATTATCAAGCTGCCTTTTTTTTCGCGGACCCCCCCTTACGTGGCACTGCTTTCCTCTTCTTCGCCCCTGCTCTGCTGCCATCCCTTTCCGCCTGTCTGGCGTCCATCCGTTCCTGTCTCTCCTCAGCTCTCGCCTTTTCGTCCAACATACCTTGATATTTCGCAACCCAGCGAGGCTTCGACAACCTATCCACCAGTCTCATGTCCATGACCTGGATCGTCACCCTCTTCGAATGGATGGCCACCTCGTTCGTGTTCTCGAAATTGGCGACCAGGTACGCCTCGGCAGCCTACATCAAAGCACGCACCGCCGTCATCTGAAACCTCACGCCCATACCCGAAGCAATGTCCCGTTCCACAACCTCGCGCACGAGACGCAAGAACGGCCTGAAAGCCAAACAAAGGTCAGTGGATCGTTGCAACTTTCTGATTTCCGTCAAAGTTGTCATCCCGGGGCGTCGACGGCGTCTGGGGACCTGAGTTCGTGCGCCTGCGGTGTCTCCGGTCCGTGGCACCACCTTCGGGTTCACCTTCTTTCTGTCTGCGGGCGTCTGCCCACGTGGTGATCCCGGCGTGCACTTCTTCTTCTTCCCCGGGCTCTGCGACATCGCGACATCGCTCGGCCCGCCCATGTCACCCTGTGCTGCAGAGCACCCCCCGACGCGACCAGAACCGCATGGGCCCTCCACCTCAGCAGACAAACGGAAAATTTTTGAGCGCTTCTCTGTCCTCTTGCCTGCCTGCGCTGAACCTGGCAAGCCATCCTCCGACAGATACCGAATGTCTCGCAGGAATCCATCTGAGTAGGTCAGATGGAAAGACACACCAAGCGGGTCTATGAATCTCATGGTGACGTCTCCACCATGCTCATATGTCATGGGACATACGACCGCGACCCAACCAAGAACGGTCGTGCAACCGTGCCTACGGCGAATGCGAGCCATGGATCTGTTCTGACCGTCACCGTGCTCTTGGGCCGTACAACTCCCCTCAACCATGGACCACATCCCCTGGTCAGCCATGGAGTCATAACCCGCGCACACCATCTGACGCTCCTCCTCCCTTATCTTCTCCCAGCACCGCTTTGCATGTTCAACCACCAGGACGTGGCCCTTTACATTCACATTGAAAATTGAGACACGTGTCAAAACCACGAGAAACTGCCAATGCTCCACAATGCCTGCATGCATCCATCCCAATTGGAGACAATGCCCTGATTGTAGTCTTGCTGCCATCGTCACATTGCCATCAACCACTGCAGGATGCAAACATCCTGGGACCCAATTGACACGATAGCCATACTTTTCAGGGGCCATATGCTGCTGCAACTGTCCTTCAGGGATGACACGGGCCCCAATGTCCATGGCAGACAGAACGTCACTCCTCATTGTGACATGGTCCCATATCTGCGAGCATACTCTATCATACGTGGCTTCCTGCCCTGCATGCGTGTATGTGCTGCCATCCTCACCAGTGAAAACTTTCCCTTCAACCACCTCCGACTCCACAGGGTTCCAAAGCGGCGGGAAAAAGCAGCCAGCAGTATGGGTAGTACATGCCATTGCCTTCTTCTCGTCTTCTGAGACCTCCCTGTCGAGGTGCCTGAAGGAGAAATTGCCATTCACATAATGCGTGCTCCAGACATTTCCCATGGCATCACGCATCATCATCCTCACACGGCCACATGGAATCGGGATCACACATGGCACCCAACCCCACCTAGGATCCCTCCTTGCATCGCTCTTGTGGCACGTCGTACTCCCTGTTGCGTCGTTCCCGCCAATCACCCATGCCTGTCCGCAATCAAAATTGTCGTACAAAAAACCGTTTAGCCTGAACTCACCCTGCGCCTCCAGAACACGCCACATGTCCAATGCATATCGCCCTTTCACCTCTGTTGTTGCCCCATCGTTCAACCTTAATAGTCTGTCAAACACGATTACCAGAGTCACGTTTCGCCATGTATTTTTGGGGGGGGCAGAAAATGGAACGCATGTCCCTTCGACTTTGAACGCAAAGCAGGGTGCTCCTCCAACAATACCCGGTTGAACACGACCCGACACCCAATTGATGTCATATGGGTACTCTTCTCCTGCTAATGTCTTCACCACATTTTCATCTTTCACAATACACCCTGTCATAGATTCTCTGCTTCCCATATCTCCCTCCTCTTTCTCTTCCCCAACCGTTTTTGTCTCACAAGTGCTCCCTCCTGCATCATTCTCTGTTTCATTACCATCACCCATCATCTCTGCAGTCTGTGCACATATTGTCGCAAGCACCTCCGCACAGTCTGCGTTGTTCCCTCCTGCCGAATTTCCTTCCTTGCTGTCATCTGCAAAACCCTTCAGAATGTCCTCCGTCTCCATGGCGCATGTCTCTCCACCGTTGATAGTCGATGCAATCGCAGGTTCCATCTATTGCATGAGACACCACATACATTTATAAGAACACGTAGCTGCGACATGCCCCCCTCACGAGAGAGAGAGAGAGAGAGA